GTAGAGTAGAGTAGGGAAGGGTAGGGTAGGGTAGAGCAGAGCAGAGCAAGATAGAGTAGGGTAGAGTAGAGTAGAGTAGGGGAGGGGAGGGGAGGGTAGGGTAGGGTAGAGTAGAGGAGAGCAAGGTAGAGTAGAGTAGAGTAGGGAAGGGTAGGGTAGGGTAGAGCAGAGCAGAGCAAGATAGAGTAGGGTAGAGTAGAGTAGGGGAGGGTAGGGTAGGGTAGCGTAGAGTAGGGTAGGGGAGGGTAGGGTAGAGTAGAGGAGAGCAAGGTAGAGTAGAGTAGAGTAGAGTAGTGTAGAGTAGAATAGAACAAAGTAGAGTAGGGGAGGGGAGGGTAGAGTAGAGCAGAGCAAGGTAGAGTAGGGTAGAGTAGAGTAGAGTAGAGTAGAGTAGAGTAGGGAAGGGTAGGGTAGAGCGGAGCAGAGCAAGGTAGAGTAGTAGGGTAGAGTAGAGTAGAGTAGAGTAGAGTAGGGGAGGGGAGGGGAGGGGAGGGGAGGGTAGGGTAGAGTAGAGCAGAGCAAGGTAGAGTAGAGTAGAGTAGAGTAGAGTAGAGTAGAGTAGAGTAGAGTAGGGAAGGGGAGGGAAGGGTAGGGTAGGGTAGAGCAGAGCAGAGCAAGGTAGAGTAGGGTAGAGTAGAGTAGAGTAGAGTATGGTAGGGAAGGGGAGGGGAGGGTAGGGTAGGGTAGAGTAGAGAAGGGTAGAGTAGAATAGAACAAAGTAGAGTAGGGGAGGGGAGGGTAGGGTAGAGTAGAGCAGAGCAAGGTAGAGTAGGGTAGTAGTAGAGTAGAGTAGGGAAGGGGAGGGAAGGGTAGGGTAGAGCAGAGCAAGGGAGAGTAGGGTAGAGTAGAGTAGAGTAGAGTAGAGTAGAGTAGGATAGGGGAGGGTAGAGTAGAGGAGAGCAAGGTAGAGTAGAGTGGAGTAGAGTAGAGTAGGGTAGAGTAGAATAGAATAAAGTAAAGTAGGGGAGGGGAGGGTAGGGTAGAGTAGAGCAGAGCAAGGTAGAGTAGGGTAGAGTAGAGTAGAGAAGAGTAGAGTAGGGAAGGGGAGGGAAGGGTAGGGTAGGGTAGAGGAGAGCAAGGTAGAGTAGAGTGGAGTAGAGTAGAGTAGGGTAGAGTAGAATAGAATAAAGTAAAGTAGGGGAGGGGAGGGGAGGGTAGGGTAGAGTAGAGCAGAGCAAGGTAGAGTAGGGTAGAGTAGAGTAGAGTAGAGAAGAGTAGAGTAGGGAAGGGGAGGGAAGGGTAGGGTAGAGCAGAGCAGAGCAAGGTAGAGTAGGGTAGAGTAGAATAGAGTAGAGTAGGGTAGGGGAGGGGAGGGGAGGGTAGGGTAGGGTAGAGTAGAGTAGAGTAGGGTAGGGGAGGGTAGGGTAGAGTAGAGAGCAAGGTAGAGTAGAGTACAGTAGGGTAGAGTAGAATAGAATAAAGTAGAGTAGGGGAGTGGAGGGTAGGGTAGAGTAGAGCAGAGCCAGGTAGAGTAGGGTAGAGTAGAGTAGAGTAGAGTAGAGTAGAGTAGGGAAGGGGAGGGAAGGGTAGGGTAGAGTAGAGCAGAGCAGAGCAAGGTAGAGTAGGGTAGAGTAGAGTAGAGTAGAGTAGGGTAGAGGAGGGGAGGGTAGGGTAGGGTAGAGTAGAGTAGAGTAGAGTAGAGTAGGGTAGGGGAGGGTAGGGTAGAGTAGAGAGCAAGGTAGAGTAGAGTAGAGTAGGGTAGAGTAGAGTAGAATAGAATAAAGTAGAGTAGGGGAGAGGAGGGTAGGGTAGAGTAGAGCAGAGCCAGGTAGAGTAGGGTAGAGTAGAGTAGAGTAGAGTAGAGTAGAGTAGAGTAGAGTAGAGTAGAGCAGACTAGAGTAGAGTAGAGTAGAGTAGAGTAGAGTAGAGTAGGGGAGGGGAGGGGAGGGGAGAGTAGAGCAGAGCAAGGTAGAGTAGGGTAGAGTAGAGTAGAGTAGAGTAGAGTAGGGAAGGGGAGGGGAGGGAAGGGTAGGGTAGAGCAGAGCAGAGCAAGGTAGAGTAGGGTAGAGTAGAGTAGAATAGAGTAGTGTAGAGTAGAGTAGAGTAGGGAAGGGTAGGGTAGAGCAGAGCAAGGTAGAGTAGGGTAGAGTAGAGTAGTGTAGAGTAGAGTAGAGTAGGGGAGGGGAGGGTAGGGTAGGGTAGAGTAGAGTAGAGTAGAGTAGAGTAGTGTAGAGTAGAGTAGAGTAGGATAGAGGAGGGGAGGGGACGGGAGGGTAGAGTAGAGTAGAGTAGAGTAGGGTAGGGTAGAGTAGAGTAGAGTATGGTAGGGAAGGGGGGGGGAGGGTAGGGTAGGGTAGAGTAGAGTAGAGTAGGGTAGAGTAGAGGAGAGCAAGGTAGAGCAGAGTAGAGTAGAGTAGAGAAGGGTAGAGTAGAATAGAACAAAGTAGAGTAGGGGAGGGGAGGGTAGGGTAGAGTAGAGCAGAGCAAGGTAGAGTAGGGTAGAGTAGAGTAGAGTAGAGTAGGGAAGGGGAGGGAAGGGTAGGGTAGGGTAGGGTAGAGTAGAGCAGAGCAAGGTAGAGTAGGGTAGAGTAGAGTAGAGTAGAGTAGAGTAGAGTAGGATAGGGGAGGGTAGAGTAGAGGAGAGCAAGGTAGAGTAGAGTGGAGTAGAGTAGAGTAGGGTAGAGTAGAATAGAATAAAGTAAAGTAGGGGAGGGGAGGGGAGGGTAGGGTAGAGTAGAGCAGAGCAAGGTAGAGTAGGGTAGAGTAGAGTAGAGTAGAGAAGAGTAGAGTAGGGAAGGGGAGGGAAGGGTAGAGGAGAGCAAGGTAGAGTAGAGTGGAGTAGAGTAGAGTAGGGTAGAGTAGAATAGAATAAAGTAAAGTAGGGGAGGGGAGGGGAGGGTAGGGTAGAGTAGAGCAGAGCAAGGTAGAGAAGGGTAGAGTAGAGTAGAGTAGAGTAGAGTAGGGTAGGGGAGGGGAGGGGGAGGGGGTAGGGTAGGGTAGAGTAGAGTAGAGTGGGGTAGGGGAGGGTAGGGGTAGAGTAGAGAGCAAGGTAGAGTAGAGTACAGTAGGGTAGAGTAGAATAGAATAAAGTAGAGTAGGGGAGTGGAGGGTAGGGTAGAGTAGAGCAGAGCCAGGTAGAGTAGGGTAGAGTAGAGTAGAGTAGAGTAGAGTAGAGTAGAGTAGGGAAGGGGAGGGAAGGGTAGGGTAGAGTAGAGCAGAGCAGAGCAAGGTAGAGTAGGGTAGAGTAGAGTAGAGTAGAGTAGAGTAGGGTAGGGGAGGGGAGGGTAGGGTAGGGTAGAGTAGAGTAGAGTAGGGTAGAGTAGGGTAGGGTAGGGGAGGGTAGGGTAGAGTAGAGAGCAAGGTAGAGTAGAGTAGAGTAGGGTAGAGTAGAGTAGAATAGAATAAAGTAGAGTAGGGGAGAGGAGGGTAGGGTAGAGTAGAGCAGAGCCAGGTAGAGTAGGGTAGAGTAGAGTAGAGTAAAGTAGAGTAGAGTAGAGTAGAGTAGAGCAGACTAGAGTAGAGTAGAGTAGAGTAGTGTAGAGTAGGGGAGTGGAGGGGAGGGGAGAGTAGAGCAGAGCAAGGTAGAGTAGGGTAGAGTAGAGTAGAGTAGAGTAGGGAAGGGGAGGGGAGGGAAGGGTAGGGTAGAGCAGAGCAGAGCAAGGTAGAGTAGGGTAGAGTAGAGTAGAATAGAGTAGTGTAGAGTAGAGTAGAGTAGGGAAGGGTAGGGTAGAGCAGAGCAAGGTAGAGTAGGGTAGAGTAGAGTAGTGTAGAGTAGAGTAGAGTAGGGGAGGGGAGGGGAGGGTAGGGTAGAGTAGAGTAGAGTAGAGTAGAGTAGTGTAGAGTAGAGTAGAGTAGGGTAGAGGAGGGGAGGGGAGGGGAGGGGAGGGTAGAGTAGAGTAGAGTAGAGTAGAGTAGGGTAGGGTAGAGTAGAATAGAACAAAAGTAGAGTAGGGTAGAGTAGAGTAGAGTAGAGTAGAGTAGAGTAGGGTAGGGTAGAGTAGAATAGAACAAAGTAGAGTAGGGTAGAGTAGAGTAGAGTAGAGTAGAGTAGAGTAGGGAAGGGGAGGGAAGTGTAGGGTAGGGTAGAGCAGAGCAAGGTAGAGTAGGGTAGAGTAGAGTAGAGTAGAGTAGGGGAGGGGAGGGGAGGGTAGGGTAGAGTAGAGTAGAGTAGAGTAGAGTAGAGTAGGGTAGGGTAGGATAGGAGAGGGTAGGGTAGAGTAGAGGAAAGCAAGGTAGAGTAGAGTAGAGTAGAGTAGGGTAGAGTAGAATAGAATAAAGTAGAGTAGGGGAGGGGAGGGGAGGGTAGGGTAGAGTAGAGCAGAGCAAGGTAGAGTAGGGTAGAGTAGAGTAGAGTAGAGTAGAGTAGAGTAGGATAGGGGGGGGTAGGGTAGAGTAGATGAGAGCAAGGTAGAGTAGAGTAGAGTAGAGTAGGGTAGAGTAGAATAGAATAAAGTAGAGTAGGGGAGGGGAGGGGAGGGGAGGGTAGCGTAGAGCAGAGCAAGGTAGAGTAGGGTAGAGTAGAGTAGAGTAGAGTAGAGTAGAGTAGAGTAGAGCAGAGCAGAGCAGAGTAGAGTAGAGTAGAGTAGATTAGAGTAGAGTAGAGTAGAGCAGAGCAGAGCAGAGCAGAGCAGAGCAGAGTAGAGTAGAGTAGAGTAGTGAAGAAGATGACAAAGTCTGGGATCGCGTCTTTAATTCAGACAGAAGACATGTTTTATTGTCGACGGTAGAGACAGCACAAACAACAGAATGTAAGTGTATTATACAGAGCGGAGGCATGGAGACCTCCAATCAGCAGCTTCCACGGTGCCATGTAGCTTGGCCTTCAGATAGACAAAACAAGGGAAAAGTACTGGCTTCTGCACATTGATAGAATGATGAGTTTAACTTTAACAAAAGTTGCTTCAAAGTGTTGAAATCTCACAGTAGAGTAGAGTAGAGCAGAGCAGAGCAGAGCAGAGTAGAGTAGAGCAGAGCAGAGCAGAGCAGAGCAGAGTAGAGTAGAGTAGAGTCGTGCTGGTGGAATCCGGTCTTGAGTGTCTGTGTACATGTGTCTCCCGCAGACTGCCCAGAGCCCGGACCATCTCAGTCAAACTCCTTCTATAAATATCAGCAGGTGTCAGTGGGAGCCGCCAAGTGCCTCCACACGCAGCCGCTCGCTCATCCGCTCTCCACAATAAAACCTTTTGTCACCTCTGTGGAAGTGATTTTTATCTTTTTTTCTCAAGTTACTTTGATAAATACATACTCGACAAACTTATAGAAAGAACTGATACGTTTGCTATATTACACTGCATTCAAATAAACAATATACTTCATTGTTCAATAATCATACACAGGTCATCATGATCATAGACAGGCCTGGGTTTTTTTCATGATTCCTGATGATTACATCAGAGTTCATCTACAGCAGGGGTGTCAAACTCATTTTGGATGGGGGCCAAGTTTAGAAACATAAGACCTGGTTGGGGCCAATTTACTTGTTTGTTTTTTTTGTACACATTTTTGAGAGTTTGGATTTGATCTTGTTACGATTCGGACAAGGAAATGGAGGGGTAACAAAAAGTTTGATGAACAAAAATATGGAAACTCCAAACAAAGGTGAGCCGGGACAGGTGCTGGGGTTAGGCGGTGCAGGGGTCAGGCGGTGTTGGGGTCAGGCGGTGCAGGGGTCAGGCGGTGCAGGGGTCAGGCGGTGCAGGGGTCAGGCAGTGCAGGGGTGAGGCGGTGCTGGGGTCAGGCAGTGCTAGAGTCAGGCAGTGCTGGGGTCAGGCGGTGCAGGGGTGAGGCGGTGCTGGGGTCAGGCAGTGCTAGAGTCAGGCAGTGCTGGGGTGAGGCGGTGCTGGGGTCAGGCGGTGCTGGGGTCAGGCGGTGTTGGGGTCAGGCGGTGCTGGGGTCAGGCGGTGCAGGGGTCAGGCGGTGCAGGGGTCAGGCAGTGCAGGGGTCAGGCAGTGCAGGGGTCAGGCGGTGCTGGGGTCAGGCAGTGCTAGGGTCAGGCAGTGCTGGGGTCAGGCAGTGCTGGAGTCAGGCGGTGCTGGGGTCAGGCGTGCGGGGTCAGGCGGTGCTGGGTCAGGCGGTGCTGGGGTCAGCAGTGCGTGTGGGGTCAGGCAGTGCTGGGGTCAGGCGGGTGTGGGGTCAGGCGGTGCATTGGGCGGGGTCAGGCAGTGCTGGGGTCAGGCGTGTGGTCAGGCTGGGTCAGGCAGTGCTGGGTCAGTGCAGGGGTCAGGCAGTGCAGGGGTCAGGCGGTGCTGGGGTCAGGCAGTGCTAGAGTCAGCAGGCTCAGGCAGTGCTGGTCAGGCAGTGCTGGGGTCAGGCAGTGCTGGGGTCAGGCGGTGCTGGGGTCAGGCAGTGCTGGGGTCAGGCGGTGCTGGGGTCAGGCAGTGCTGGGGTCAGGCAGTGCTGGGGTCAGGCGGTGCTGGGGTCAGGCAGTGCTGGGGTCAGGCGGTGCTGGGGTCAGGCAGTGCTAGAGTCAGGCAGTGCTGGGGTCAGGCGGTGCAGGGGTCAGGCAGTGCTGGGCTGGGAGCAGAAGGTGCGGAGGTCTGACGCAGAACAAAGAAAGGTAAGTACAAAGGTAACGAGAGCGATTACGAAAAGCCCACTAGACGTACTGTTTACGAACTGGCACCGATGAGCTGGCTTCTGGAGCTTTTTTAGAGGCCTGATTGTAGACTGGAGGCACACACCTGCTCTGGGAGGCAACTCCAGGAGAAGCAGGGGACAGATTTGGGTTCAACCACAACTCTGCGAAAGTTTTTTGATAAAAATATAAATCTTAATCTTAGGCCTACCTTAACTTATAATTACATGTTAGTTCACATTTTTGAACAATCTTATTTATATAGTGGCTTTCCTGTGAAAATAAACTCTAAAATTAAGTTCATCATGCGGTATTATTCCTTTAGCATTCCATATTCTCAAGTTACTGTAATAGCGATAATTGCAGATCATTTCACCGGCCACTAAAAATGGTCTCGCGGGCCGGATTTGGTCCATGGGCCTGAGTTTGACATGCCTGCTCTACATGGCGCAATATAAAGCATTCTAAAAACAAGGACAAGTTTATAAAAGAAAGGCCTGAGACCTAATGTTTACGGTAACTGAAGAAATAAACTACTGCTACATAAATGTGTCTCTGACCACGTGTCTCGGCCAAACAAATGTAAATGCAGTTGATTTAAATACAGGCTCTAATAGTAATAAAAGCAAATGTTCTGGAGTAGGCCTAGTATTGGTTCATTTGCAAAAACAGATTTCTCCATCTGTAAAAAGTTCCCACAATCTTGTATTTTGTTTTTGGCCGTACATTTCAAAGCATTTTAACAAGAAGGGGTTAAACTTTATTTGGCACTGATATGTATCTATAGCGAGCAACTTGATTTCCTAATGGCACTCATCAGTGTTTGCAAATGAACAATTAATTTGTGTAAAGAATAATATAAATATAATAAAATGATGACCTTCAGGCTTCTCTTACTATAAACTGGGGAACTTCTTTCAAACTATAACAAACTGGATCTATGTAATAATATCCTTGCAGCTATAGTTCCTTGCTCTGAAACAGTTTGTGTGTCATTGATCAGATTTTTCAGTCAGATAAAAATGAAAAAGAGAGGACCATGCGCAATCAGCCAAAATCATTTGATGCAACATGGTCACTTCCATTCCTCAGGTTCCAATCCGCGCCTATCTTCACACTTCTCAGGCTTTTACTGTGGAAGCTGCTCTCGGAGGTGCGCCCGCTCCTGCTGCTGTCACTCGGGACCCTCTGAGTGAGCGTGGGGGGCACACACGCACACGCACACGCAGCAGCGCAGTCGTGGCGGCCGCCTCTCTGCTCCGTGCTCCAGTCTCCTCTGCCCATGATCTGGCCGCTACAGCCACAGCGCTCCCTCCAGCCCACCCGAAGCCCCTGTGTCCTGCGCCCCCCCTGCTGCCCCGGCTCTCATGACGGGCGGCCGCTTCGACTTTGACGATGGGGGGACGTACTGCGGAGGCTGGGAGGACGGCAAAGCCCACGGCCACGGAGTATGCACGGGACCCAAGGGGCAGGGGGAGTACTCCGGCTCCTGGTCCAACGGCTTCGAGATAGTGGGCGCGTACACCTGGCCCAGCGGGAACCAGTACCAGGGCTACTGGGCTCAGGGCAAGCGCCACGGGCTGGGCGTGGAGAACAAGGGCCGCTGGATTTACCGGGGCGAGTGGACGCACGGCTACAAAGGGCGTTACGGGCTGCGCCAGAGCCTCAGCACTCCAGCCAGGTATGAGGGCACCTGGACCAACGGGCTGCAGGACGGGTACGGGGTGGAGACGTACGGGGATGGAGGTAAGCGCACTCACGCACACAGACATGTATGAGGTCTGCAGTGTTGGCAAACCTCTACTGTTGTTCTTTTCCCCTGATGTCCATGTAAAGGGTAGCGGTGGGCGATATGGACAAAAATAAATATCTCGATATTTATTTCCCAACTCCTGATAACAATATTGTCACGATATCTTTAAAATCAATCATTTTACAAATCTATAGATAGAGACAGTGTAGATCAAAATAGAAGCTTTTTATAGAAGTGCTTCACACATCTTTGCAACACACGCGCTAACATATATAAACATTAAAAATCAAATTCAAGTAACACAGAAAGAACACATCCAAAAAGGCTCAATATTTATTGAAATGTACAAATAAAGCAGTGATTGGCTTTTTAGGCACACATTAGACGATTGGGCATCTTTCTTTCTCTAACTGTAATATGTATGTCTATGAAAAATAAAAAAGTTTGATAATACGAAAAAGCATATCTTCAAATTGACTTTCACGATATTATTGTCTACGATATATTTTGCCCACCCCTAGTAAAGGGTCTATATTCTCTGACGTCCTGAAAGTTTTGGTCACTCACAGTCAGTCTCCAGTCAACATCTGTGAAACCTGCTCTGATGACGCCCCTTTGCCCTTTGTGGTTCACTTAAACATCTGTGAAACCTGCTCTGATGACGCCCCTTTGCCCTTTGTGGTTCACTTAAAGGCACACCGCGGACTTTGTGACCTAAAGAGTTGACACATATGAGTTATTTTATATGAATACTTGGGCCAATATACAGCGCTTGACACTTGCAATGCTCCGAGCGGGGCTGCCCTCTTGAAATACCGCCCATGTAAGTTTCGAGCAGACGGACCGTCTGCCACCAGGTCACGTGACTTGGAAGAAAGACTTGCTTTACGGCTACAGGCGCTGATATACTCATGGAGCTAAGGCTTTTGCTACTCATTTTTCACCTGCTCGACTCCTGGTCATGGCTGAGGCAAGGAAAAATTTTAAACCTTCGGAGGAGGCTAAAAAGAGGAAACGCGAAAGGGATCGTGCTGTAAGCTGCATGTCTGTATGAGCGCTGCTCTTCACCTGGTTCCTGGATGTCATCGACTGCAAAGATGTCATTCCACGCAGCACGAGCTAGACGCAGAACTCCCTCATCCAGGATATAGAAGTCCATGTGTGGTAGATTACTAATGCAGCGGTCTGGAGGCTGACCACAGCAGAGTCTCTCAATATCTGTAGGCATGTCTCTACAGTTTGAACACACACACCAGTGCATGCTGTCTGAATACACACTCAAAAGACACCGGCTGACTGTTTGTTGACTTTTGCGACAGTGCTGAGTTGCTTGTGGCCACTAGGGGCGCTAAACGTGAAAGTTGCAGGTCTAGCGCCCCTAGTGGCCAAGAGTTACACGGTGTGCCTTTAAACATCTGTGAAACCTGCTCAGATGAAGCCCCTTTGCCCTTTGTGGTTCACTTAAACATCTGTGAAACCTGCTCTGATGACGCCCCTTTGCCCTTTGTGGTTCACTTAAACATCTGTGAAACCTGCTCTGATGACGCCCCTTTGCCCTTTGTGGTTCACTTAAACATCTGTGAAACCTGCTCAGATGAAGCCCCTTTGCCCTTTGTGGTTCACTTAAAGGGCACTCGGGTTCACACGCAAACTACTTCAATGTTTGTGTTTGGTTTTTATTTCAAACTCTGTTCTGTTTAATGTTCATATTCATCTTCTCACACAAGTCACTTTTAATGATTGACTGAACCTTTTTTTCTCTAAAGAATTATAAACCGTGGAAGAAAAAAAGCAAACGTGAAGTTAAATATATTTTTGTAACGTTTTTGCAGCCGTGTCAGCAGAGATAGATCCACATCAGAGTCTTGCTGTGTACCGCTGTCAGTTAATATCTGGAATATTCAGTTCTACAATTATTATAACTGAAATAAGTTATATGATGGGGTTTTATGTTGTTTTTTACCTTTTCAGCGGAGGTAAAGGCAACAGATGGATAAAAAGAACAAAAAATGTCTAAAATGGAAATAGAAAAATAATAAAATAATAAAAATAATACAATAATAATAGAAAAAATATTTAAAACAAAAATTCTCTGAGTGATTTTAATTTTCTCAAAGTAATTCTAATTTGCCAAATTCAGCCGTTTGATGTAAGTATTATTATATATTTGTATAAGAGAAAATAGATAGAGTTCATATTGCTCCAACCATAGACTGTATGCTCAATGAAACCCAGTAGGGAAGTGCTCATGTACAAAGTTTTGCTCCAACTCACTGGCTTGTGACCTAAATTGAAAAGTAAAGCTCATTAACGGTTTTTGTGATTATATTTTGATAATGTTTGGTTAAATCCTTATGAGCCATTAGGATCGACCAATCAGAGGCCTTTACCAAAGCCTACCCGAGTTGGAACAGTATAATATTGGCTCCAGCTTATGTTCAAAGGCTTCTTCCACTTGATCTACTAACACTGTGGTGATGTCACACTCAGTCCACTCCTGATTTATGTCTATGGCTCCAACATCCAGCCACCGTTTCCCTTGAAAGATTCCATTGCTATTGTTTTGAGCTGTTTATTCAAGTTTGGTCTGTATTTTTTTGCCTGTTCACGGTCTATAGAGTTCTCTCTGCTACAAGGATTATTCTATATACATTTTCTTCTTTTATATATGTCCTATTTTTTTATCAAATTCTTAAACTACGCCTGTATGTTTGACACATATTGACACACATGATTTTGTTAGACAATTTTTACCGGGCCTGCGTGTGTGGGTGTGTGTAGCAGTCTTGTACATAATTGATCAGTGTTGGGCTAATTTTAAGGGAAAATGTAGCAACATTTTCAGTAAAATAACTCTTCAGGAAAGATGAGAAAATGCCTGGTGCAGCAGTCACAAACAACGGACTTCACACTTTGCTCCTTGAGACAGGTTTTGAAAGGTCTTTTTGTACTGTTTTGCTGTCAGGCTGTAGTAGGAGTACTGTTACTGTCAGACTTTACTGTTACACTGTGTGGGAGTAGAGTTCAGTGAGTATGGTACAGTGTGTGTGAGGTCCCCCTCCCTCACACCGGGTCTGCCTCCCCCTCCCTCCCTTACACCTGCTGCAGACAAACTTAGCCTGAGACACAGCATCGTCTCAGAGGCTTAAATTAGAGCTGAGGACTCGCCTCACTCGCTTCATGTTCTTAAACTGAGTGCCTTTTATTCCAGAATTTTCACTCTTAAATATTCATGTCCTGGACGTTACAGTTTGTAGCAGTTTAATTCAATTCAATTTATTTTTGTATAGCCCTAAATCACAACAGTATCTCAGAGGACTTTACAATCAAAGAATCAAATAGTTCAAACAATGATAAAAACACAGAGACATTGGTCCATTAGGGGCAAATGACCACTGTCCATAAATGTTGACAAAGTTCATAAATGTGGTTAAATGTGGAGTGTCCTGGATCACTGTCCTTAGACCCTCCTGCGTCAGTGGCACTGGTGAGATATGTAGAAAATTCACCAAATACATACTCTTTTTAAGTAAGCTCATATAGAAGTTAGGTTTATCAACTTTAGTGGTTAGTGTTAGTTTGATTGAAATGATAAAAAATCATTATCGTCCTTCTTGAAGCGATTCCAGCAAATATCCTCTGGAGAGACCTGCGGGTGCGGACCGCCTCGGACTATGACTCTGACTACATTTGGACACAAAACTAGCGGTAATCTTTCAGTTATATATTTTGTTAGCAGTGCGTTGCTTTTATACCATTTCATCAGTGATTGTTGTACAGCTGACAAGAAGTTGCGCTAATGTTAGCATACGTATCAGATCGCAAATAAAACCAGATGGCTCCGTGGGAGGAGAGCGTGGGGGAAATGAGAAGCCTGTGAGAGAGTTGAGGGGCGGTGCTAAACCTTCAAACTGAAAAAACCTTGCAGAAACGGGTATAGCTACTTTAAAGTGATGTAAGTCTGTAACTCTAAATGAATTATACATTTTAGGAAATTGACCTCCTGACCTTAAATGTTGGTATAAAATAAGTCACTTTATTAATTCTAATATTACGGGTAAGTCCCGCCTTCCCTTCTCTTAGCTATAGCTCAGAATCCACGGTGCCGTCCACGTTAACCAATCAAGTGATGCCAAGGGCTGTCAATCATCGGCGCTGATGCTCGTGGCTGCTCATGCTCAGTTGTTTGTTTTCGCTGAGCCTCCGAATCAAGCCTCTATTAGGCTCTGGAGCTACATGAAAACTGAACAAAGAATTCTGAACATCCGCACTGAGTTACCCATTTCTATACTGAACCTATATCATAATCATTTATATACTGAACCTATATCCATAATCATTTATATACAGAACCTATATCCATAATCATTTATATATAGAACCTATATCCATAATCATTTATATACTGAACCTATATCCATAATCAGATCCTCTGCAGATGTGTCCTATAATGTGCAATTCATGAAAATAGCACTTCCTGGTTTGCCACAATCGCTTTTTTTGTGCATAAAAACATTATTTTTTTCATTAAAACATTAACAAATAATTCTGAAAACCTCCGTGCATGTGTATTAATAATGTATATGTATAATATGTTCTCCCATTAACATTTAAATGTGTTACGGAAACGTAGGTGTAGACCAATCAGAAAAAGGGGGAGGGAGCTTGTGTTGTTTTTTTCAAATCAAGCACCTCTCTCTCTCTTTCTGACAAACTGCAGACAATCACTTTAAGGACATTTCTGGACATTTATTTACAACTTTGTAAAGTTCTCTCAGATGACTGGTGTTGTGATTTAAGGGTATGCATAAAAAAATACTTTAATTGAACTCTTGCCGAATCTTTTGCAAGGACCAATGGGGACCAATCACGAGACGGCTATAACCGATGATCACACACTATTAAGAAATCGTAAACGCCTTTTTTGCTTCCTCTTTTCTCGTTGTTTTTCTATTGCTCCCATACGAAGAGCTATTATGTTTCCCAGACAACA